TTAGGAGTACCTCTAGGTACGCTGGCTAGCATGGAACTCAAAACGAGTTGCCATATCTAGGATGCCATCAACTGAATGGCCGCTCATGTCCACAGTGGCACTGAGTGTCGTCCTCTCACAATGCGTCGACGCGTTGGAGTTTCGCAAAGCAAAGCAAAAACCCTTTTAATTTATCCTGTCGGGGTGTGGAGGGCCCGATGTGTTCGAGCATGGCTCTGGGACCATCGGTGCTTCTTCTTGTGCAAGCCAGACCTTTGCTTTTCCCCATCGCAAAAGAAGGAGGGTTTCCGAGTGCCTGCGCATTTTTACTTCCAAATATATCCTTTTCATAGAGAATATATCTGATCTTTTATATTCTATTTCAGAATGCCCTCATATGTTTAGGGCGACAGGAATCAGCAGGAAATAAGGCTACTGTATGTTTTTCGTGTTCACCTTTTTTTAAGGAAAGCTTTGCTTTGCAGCTCGCTGGCATGACGTGATTACATGTGACCTGCGTGCATGCATTTCTTTGCTACCACTGCGACCATGATCCTGGCAGCTTTGGCTTCGTGATCCAAAATCCATCCGATGTCAAGTGCCATCTTGAAATGACATGTGTCAGATGGGTTTGATGGAAGTTTAGCTGGAGAACAGCACGGGCGGGCTGATTCACATTTACATGGTTCAAGAATTCAAGAGCTTGCGAGTGCATAGGCGCATAACTTCAAGCGCTTGGCATGTGGTTGTTGCATCATTTCAGTGTGCCAGTAAACACGCGGTTATGTCTTTTGTATGCGACCCGTGTCGTTTCGAACCCCGAGCACATTGACATGCAATGCTCTGGTTCGTGGTGGGCTGTATTTCAATTGCACTGAATGCTGTCCTTATACAGCAGCTGATTTCCAAAGGAGGCGGATGTGATCCATGGCGGAATCCCGAGGAAACAGGGCGGCCTGCCAGCTCGCTGGCGAGTGAGATTGCCGAGCTGGCTGCTCGCGAGATTACAGAGTTGGGGCAGCTGTTTTTCCGCCAAAAAGTCAGTGAGTTGTTGATGGAAAAAGCAGTGCAGGAAGAGATGGGCTTTACCAGTCAAGATTCCAAAAAGGAACACCCTCTGGTAGGCTTGGCAGTAGAGCTGCTAAGTGTGGTGATCCAGCCAGAGGAGGTTGTGAATGAGCGTTTGAATCCTTCTACTGTCAGGCGCTTGAAGGAACGCTTGGATGAGCATGGCGCCGTTGTCATCAAAGGCCTCCACCAGCCGATGGAATGTCGCTCGGCAGCCGAGTTCGTTCACGCGGAGATCTTGTCGCCCTGGGCAACCTTCAGCAACATACGGGACAACAAGTATCGCAAGGATTATGCTCTGCCGATGCGGGGATCTGCCTTGGAGTTGTTGAACAAGACGTTGGGAATCTTGGACCCCCTCTTCACAGCGACCCTAGGCCTGAACTCAAGCTTGGTGGAATTCTCGTCCTTGACAACCTATTCTGGCGCAGGCCCCCAGATCTTTCATTCGGATTCAAGTGCCTCCTCAATAAAGGAGCTACGTTCTTTGGGTCGCATGTTTTCCGCCTTCATTTACCTCGATGATGTCCGACCCGATTCGGCTCCACTAGATGTCGTGCCAGGCACCCACACGCATTATCAGTTCTTGGACGAGGAAGAGAAGGATTTGATGACCAGCGTGCCCTTCGCACGTCTAGCTGTGCCACAGGGGACAGTTGTGATTTACGATTCGCGTACCTTGCACCGCGGAGCGGCAAACACATCCCCATATGCACGACCCACGATTTACTTCTCTCTCGCTGAGCGGGGCAAGTTTATTCCCATCGGCCCCGCGTATTCGCTTCGCGAGGGATATCGACGCTTCCCAATTTCGATTCAAAATGTCAGGACGAACACGATACCCACGGAAGTATTGGCAGAGGGGGTGAGTGTTCACAGTGATGAGAAGTGCAGAGATCAGCTGCAGCATCTTTGCCCGGCCGCCGGCTTTCAGGGAGATCCGGATCGGCGCTTCGATTGCGCCTGGTATTATTTTACTGGCGAGGAGGAGTCGCAGGACGCCCGACGCCTCAGCAAGTCACAGCCCCTGGAGTTTACCGACCGACCTGGCGTGAAGGAGGGTTACCAGGAGGGACGTACATGCATAGCAGAAAAGACGGTATTCATGTTGTGGCCCATCGGAGAATAAACAGCAGGTGAGGCTGGCGCTCTCATGTCTTACGTAGGAGATCTTGGTTCGAGGATCGAGCAGTTCCGGATTTGTGATTGTGATATAGTAACTGTTATGTTATAATGACTAGCAACTATTCTGAACTAGTATGACATAACAGCTAGTATAATGTAGCAACTAATATAGTGATACACATAGTACTATAGTGTTACCAGGACAGTGACGAGGATGAGCTCGCAGCTGACAGGGAGAAGCTCAACGATCAGGAGGGGAACTTCGATTTCGAGGCAGGATTCTGGGCTTTGAGAATTCTACTGGGGTGGTGGGTGCTTTCCTTTCCCACTGCGATTACACGCATATTTGTAGCTTTCCTTATCTGTGACTTAGGTCTTCCTACGCCTGAGCTCCTGCACCGAAGGACTCGGCACTCCGAAACCCCTGAAAGCCACAAGCTTTAATCCCCGTACTCATTCCATGCGAGCCACGGAAAAGCCCCTCTAAAAGCACGCGAGGCCCAAGTGCGCAGCCTAAAACGCCTGAACAAGCCCTAGACCATTAGGCCCTCAGATCCTAAGAAGCATATACTGTCTATAAAATCCGTCTTCCTAAGGCCTAAGCCTTATATAAATACGAATCATTACAAATCCCTAAAATCCGAAGGCAGAAATGAAACCCAAACCCGAACCCAAGCCAAAAAGCCGGAGACCTAAACCCTAAACCCTAAACCCTAAACCCTAAACCCTAAACCTTGAGACTTCGTAGGCTGCCCTGGCTATGACGCTGCGAAGGGGCGGGGCCTATCGCCCCGGGCCGGAAGT